AAACACACTACACAAGTGTATAACAAATCTAGCTTTACAATAATCTTTCCCTTTGGGGACCTAGGCTTCCAGGCCGCCAACCGGGCCCTCTCTCTCTCTCCCATGAGTCACATTTCCTTTCCCCTGTATAAAAAACGCACCTGTTGTGTTAGCATGTTAGGGGGGAAATTACTGATTTTTTTTGTTACCCCCCCCCCCCCCCCCCCCCCCCCCCCCCTGGCATCATCACGGGACACGCTGTACACTTATGTTTTTAAAAAATTTGAAGAAAATGATTTAAAGGGGCAAGTGGGTACTCGTACGGGCTTTTTGTAACCGCCCGTACCTCCGCCTGAATTACCATGTGGTTGTCCCATTGAAAATCACGAGATGTACCCACGGGTTTTACTCCGTGATTGTGTCACCGGGGGGTCATGATCCACCCTGAAATTTCGCCCTTTAACCTAAAAAAATTTGGGCCCGGGCATACACGGGTTCCGGGGCCTCCGGCCCCTTCTACCTTTTCTTGACACTGTGTGTGGATTTTTCCCTTCTCACACTAGGGGGGTTTGCACACCCCCGGGAAATAAAATAAGAATAATAACAACAATAAAAATGACCAAGCGACGCGAACTGTTTTTTTTAATCAAATTCTGTAACGTTACTGACTTCTAGTTACAGAAGTTTTCAAGCATAACACAATACTATCTATGTGCACTTGAAAGGTTTTTAATCCAATGTTTTGAAGCTACCCATAAAAAAATAGTGACAACAATAATACCAAATGATGACAGATTGGGTAATCTTTTTATTCTAGGATCAACCTTTTGTAAAGGACCTTCCCCTCGTCATGTGCGGGGTTTGGAGTATTAGTATGTTGTGATTAAATCTCCTCTTTTTTCGCTTCCTCCAGTACTGTCGATCTATTTGTAAAACCCCCTCGTAACACCGCCCCTTTAGCCCGTTACCCAGTTTTGGGGCCAAAACCTCGATCTTTATCGATTCTTGGTGTGTGGGGTGTGTGGGGGGTTTTGGTTTTATTTGACGGGGTGAGGGTTTCCCCGGGGGTCTCAGATTCTAAGAATAATACAATTTTTGTGTGTTCTTAAGTTTCCCGATATCACCCTTAGAGGGGGGGAAATGAGGGGAAGGGGGGGGTTGTGCCTTGAGCAAAAGAGGGATTGACAAAAGAATTAAGCTATCTCCTTCCTCTGATCAAACCTGATCTCCCTCTCCCCCCATTTTCTCCCGTTCCCCGGGCCATAACCCCTTAGGGTTTTTAAGTGATTTTCCCCAATAATAAAATAAAAACAACAGCAAAAAATAATAATGAAATAAAAATAATAATAATCCTGTATATAATACGTATTTAAATATAATTATATATATTTATATAAAAAATTTTAAAATATATTAAATAAATATATATATTATATAATATATATATATATAATAAATTATAATATATATTAATATATATATATAATAAAATTTTATAATATATAATATATATATAAAATAATATTATATTTTATAAATTATATAAAATATATATATATATAAATTTTATATTTTTAAAAAATATGTCGTGCCGAATAGCAGAACTTGCGATTTTGCTTAAATAGCAACCCATCTTCCATATAGAAAAGGAAAATTTGGTTAGAAATAATTTCGCCCCAAAACATTCTAAAACCTTACAAAAAAATAATTCACGGGTGTTTGTTTAGTATTAAATTACTGTAAACAAATCAAAAATTTTTTTATTGGGTTAGGCTAAATAAATTGCCTTGTTAAAAAAAAGGGGGTTTTAGGAAGTTTTTTATTTCTTTTTGTGCAAAATTAAAATTTTTTACTCAACATAATAAAAAAACTCTTTAAACTTAAAGAGAAAATTTTTAAAAAGGGACTTAATTTTTTAAATGATTTTTTTTGCAAATTTGACCTTTTTAAAATTTTGGGCACGACATAAATATATAAAATTAAATATATATATAAAAATATATAAATTATAATATATATATTAATAATAAAAATATTATATATATATAATAATATATAAAATATATATATATATATATATAATATATATATAAAATGATATATATTATATATATAATATATATATTAAAATATATATTAAATATAATATATATAATAATATATAATATAATATATATTTATTTTAAAAATTATATATATAATATATTATTAAATATATATAATATATATAAAATAGTAACCTGGGGGCTCTTGTCAAATAAACAATTGCTTCCCCTCCTTCTTTGGGATCAAACCTGACACCCCTCCACCCCCAGGCGCATATGACCCAAAACGTTTTTAGCGCTTTTTTCGGGAACAATATACTATATTTTTCCAAATAGACCCAGGGTTTTTTACCACCCTGAAAACTGCCTTATCAAGTTAAAAACGGCTAGGTGGCCGCAACCGCTAGTACCCAAAAGCCTGGTAGACCATCGGCTTCGGGGAAACCTTTTCCTCAAGGGGACTGCCCGCCTACAAGAAAACTCGAAAAACCCGGGCATATATATGCTGAAAAAAGCTATTTTTTGCCCCGTGTTAAGGTTTTTTATCTTGGTCCCCTCTACCTGGGGTCTCCTGTTTAAACAACGAAACTTTTTTACCTTTATTATACTGTTGTCAGTGGAGCCTGGGGCCCCAACCTACATAACGACGATTTTTCCAACAATTAAGGGCAAGGTCTTTCCGGGTGCCAACTAACAATTTATTTAATTTAGCCGAGTCCAAAACAAAATATAATTTTGAAAACAGCCAAATGCGTAATCTGATGGTAATTTTTTATAAATTTTTATTAAAAAAAAATTACAAAAATACAAAAGATCATAATAACGTAAAAAGTGGCCGGTGGCAAAGCTCCCCTTCACACACGAGGGCCCGGGTTCGATTTCCCCGGGGGGTGGGAAAAATTTTCGACACTTTCCTTACACCTTTGTCCTGTTCACCAGCAGCAAAAAGGGCCTGGGGGGTTAGCGACTGGGTTTGGGGCCCCATCCGGGGGGGGCAAGATTTAAAGGGCCCCCAAGGAAAATAAGTTTAAAAGTCCTCGAGACGCACTGACTTCTTGGGGTTTTCCTGGTGGCTAACCCCCGGGGGGTTTAAAAAACCGAACGAAACTTTTCTCTTAAAAAAAAATATAATAGATTCCGCGAAAACACCAGGTTATTCCTGGAATGACAAGTAAATTTTAACAAAAAGCTTATTTTAAAAAAAAAAAATACTCGCGAAAAAAAATTCATAGGTTTTTACACCTTGTGGCTTACGCTTCTTTTTTTATTAAAAAAAATAATAACTATTTTTTCATCATTGAAGGTACCCCCGAATTGTGCCAATGATACCACCAAAAGGGAACTTCATGGTTTTTCAGAATTAGGAGACCCGACTAAACTATTTCAAAAAAAATTTCCACAACAAGTGCACAACATCCAGGGTCCTATATTAAAGATATAACACATGACTAAAACATAGCCACATTTTCACACACAAAAAAAATACATACGTTCATGCCAAAAAGTATTATGACCCTAACAAAGCATCATAACATCTATAGAAATACACAATATGAACATACCCTTTTGTACAAGGATTGGTTTAAATTGTGTTATGGAATATGATGTGTAATTTAAAAGTAATAAAGTTGGAGAATTTTCCCTTTTTTTTTTTGTTTTTTTTTTTAATTACGCCAAAATTTTTTAAAATTGGAACAAGTGCCACTAAAATTTTTGTTTTCACGTTCCCTTTTAATTAACAGCCAAATGGTTTTTTATAAAGCTTATTGAGAGAACTTGGGCCCAAAAAAGTCAAAATTATTTCCCTTTTTGGGCTTTAAAAAAAAATTTAAACTCTGAAAAAAATAAAAAAGACTCCTACAATTTTTTATTTGGGTTTTTAAAACCCCTTTTGGTACCCCCCAAAAAAAAACTATTTTTTTCTTATTTCCATGGTCCTTTTAACAAATAAAAGGTTTAAACTGTGTCAAAAAAACTAAAAAATTTACACAAAATTCCTTGACAAAATTTTAAACCTATTTTCGGGTTATTTAAGACCCAAAGGGTCACGTCCCAAAAAAAATATAAAAAAAATTAAAACGGGATAAGCAGTGGTCCCTACTTTTTTCTAGGGGGAAATTTGGACATTAAACTTTGTTCAAAGAGGGGAAATTTAACTAAAAACAGAGTTTTACTAAAAAACGCCATTTAATAGGGGGAAAAAATTGTAAGGGAAACCGGGAAAAGAAATTTCTAACTCATTTAAAACCAAAAACCCCCCCGCCACGAAAACACCCCTCAAAAAAAGATAGGATGGAAAAAAAAATTTAAAAAAACAAAAGGAATAAAAGGGAAAAAAAAAATAAGTCCTCCCCCAAATGTTCCCCTCCCCAAAATGGGGGAAAATGGCCCCCGGGCCCAAATTTTCCCAAAAAAGGGGTGGCAGAAAACTAAAGTCAGTGCCGGATCAGCCGGGCTGTGGTTCGTACGTTGGATTGCGTGCGGCCAGCAGTAACAGCCTGGTTGATCAGGCCCTGATCCACCGTGAGGCCTGATCGTGGACCGGCAGTGGGGGCGTTGATCCCCGGAATAACCTCCAGGTAGACTCCAGGTAGGTACCTGGAGTCTACCTGGAGGGCATTCTGGGGATCAACGCCCCCGCGGCCCGGTCCACGACCAGGCCTCCTGGTGGATCAGGGATTGATCAACCAGGCTGTTGTGTGGTGTTACGGTGAACTAATCACATATAGGATGTTAACTTCCTTATTATAAGTGCTGGTTTTTGACAGTGTCTGACTGATCAAAAATTTGACAGCTCTTACCAAAAAATAAAAAATGAGTTGCTTGTTTATGTCGGTGTTGGCAACTCTGGTGAAATTAAAGAGCCATGGGGAAAAGCATTTAAAGGGCTGGATGATAAGCCAGAGGAGGATAAATTAGTTGTCTACGGTGTACGACAGAGGTCGCAAAGAGTCACAGAGCTATGGGGAGCTGTGGGAAGTTTTTGTCTCATTAATTATGTGTTTTATTTTGCTTTAAATCTTATCATGACTTCACAAGTTTTCGATAAACTGCCCAGCAGCTGATAGACCACTGCTTTGTGACGTCACACAAACCTACCAGCTGGGGAAATATTTACGTCATTTACACAGGAAAGTACCGGTCATACCTTGGTGTAGCAGTCATCTTAAACACCTCAATATATCCTTTTAACCGTGGGTGAATTTCCAGAGCGTCTGTCATTGTGGAATGTGAATAATGAGAGGTGTAAATGGTAAATATGTTGAGGTTGGTGGTGTGTGACAATGCTCCCCGGCAACACAGCGTGGCCAGAAAGGAAGGAAGGTCGAGCAGACCTTAGTCGTGTGTTGGAGTGTATGAGAGGAGGGTGTGTTGGAAGTCCCTCCCTGTGTGTCTGACCTGCTCTCTGCAGGGGGCCAGAAATTTTTTTTATACAATTTTTAAGCGGACCTATGATTTAAAACTGTGTTGTATTGGGACTGTGGTGTTCCAGCGACTGGTTGTTTGTGTGTATGTGACTTATTTATTAAGGTTTAGACGAGCTATGAATGCTGGAGAGGTGGTTGTGTTGGGAAGTGCGATGATGAAGACGAACAGGGTGACCAAGGTGGGTCACAGCGGGTGGTCAACAGGTCCCCACGACCCTTGGATCCAACCAGCAGCAACCCTTACCAACCACAACCAACCTGGGACTCAAGGAACCACCCACCAACACTTCCATGGACTCTGGGGTAGCGGGTTTGAGAGACACGCCAGTCCATACCCCGGCCCCCATCCACAACAATAACAACATCATGGTAGGAAACAAAGGAGGCAACAACAACAACAATAATAATAATAATGAGGAATATGATGTACCCAAGTTCATTGTAGATCACACGACGCGAGCCACATACATGAAGGGCCGCTTCCTGGGCAAGGTAAGTTCAGTGCCCCTTCTTCATGCTACCTTCACGCCTCTCCCACCCCTGCCCCTCCCCCTTCCTCTCTTACCACTCCAGTCCTCTCCTTCACTTCTTGCTTCCTCTTCCTCTCGCCCCTCCGTGTCTCTTGAAACTCTATTTCTCTTTTTACATCTCCGTACTCTCTCTGTCCCTCTTACCCCTCTGTTCCCCTCTCTTACCCTTCTGTTTCCCTCTCTCTTACCCTTCTGTTTCCCTCTCTTACCCCTCTGTTCCCCTCTCTCTCACCCCTCTGTTCCCCTCTCTCTTACCCCTCTGTTCCCCTCTATCTTACCCCTCTGTTCCCCTCTTACCCCCCTGTTCCCCTCTTACCCCCCTGTTCCCCTCTGTTCCCCTCTGTTCCCCTCTGTTCCCCTCTGTTCCCCTCTGTTCCCCTCTGTTCCCCTCTGTTCCCCTCTGTTCCCCTCTGTTCCCCTCTTACCCCTCTGTTCCCCTCTTACCCCTCTGTTCCCCTCTTACCCCTCTGTTCCCCTCTTACCCCTCTGTTCCCCTCTTACCCTCTGTTCCTTGCCTATCTGACCCATCTTTTTCCTCTTAGTATCACTATTCTAACCCGTCCCTCTCCCCCTTTTCCTTAAATTTCCGTTTCTTTCCCCTCACAAATTACACTAAACCCAAACGGGTTTAGCGCTTTTTCAAATACAAAGTACATAGGGTACCTCGTTCTCCTCTTCTGCCCCCCCCCCTCTCTTCCCCTACTCCCCCTTTCTTACCCTTCTTTCTCCCTGTCCCCCTTTTGACACACACCATTAAATGACTTGGGTGTTACACATGATTCTGGTTGTTTGTGGAAGGTGTGTTTGTGTTTGAGTGGAGGGTAGTCTGGGTACACACGTGGTGAGTCCAGCCCTCAGGGACCTCCAGAGATCCCGGTCTTGTTGCTGGTGTTGCCAAATATTTTTGTTGGGGGGCCTCCTTGTTTAGTGTTGGGGCCCCTTGTTTGGTGGTGGCGGCCCTTGTGGCGTTGGTTGGTCCCTGTGAAGTTGGTGGTAAATGTTGGCGTTGGTTTTGTGGTGGTAGTACTGGTGTTAATGGCCTTTGTTTGGGCTAGAGGTGTTAATGGCCTTTGTTTAGTGCAGTAGTCCTTGATTAGTGGTCGTTGTTACAGGCATAGAGACTGATTCATTGTGGTGGACCTCGACACGGCTGCTGTGGTCGACCTTGGAGTGTTACATTTGTACCGCCGTGGCAGTCGACTTATGCCGGGTTTAGGGCTTACCCATGGTGGTAAAGATGGTTGCTTTGGCACCATTGGGGGTTAATGGATTAATTATCCCTGATTTGTTACTGTGGTATTGATTTTTTTAAATATTCGTGCTGCATGTGTATATATTTGTAGCCCGTGTTAGGGGGATCATTTTGGTACTTGGGATAGTGATTTTTAGGTGGAAAAACTGATACACTAAACCGTACAAGGATAATCTGCATGATACCTACACGTTAGAAAGTACACTTTAATCTCTAAAAGAAGAATTATACCAAATAAATTCCCAATGTATTTACATGTAGCGATACTGTACCCTGAGACACGCACTTATATAAGTGCGGGGGGGTATTGTGTGTCGGTGTCGATTATTAAAGGCACTTATCGATGGTCACTTGGCCTGTGGTTTACTTCTGGGTGATCTCCCATACATTTACAATATTTTCCCATATATTGTGTATGGAAATCAAATCTCGGCTATCACTTGCCCAATGGAAACAAATCACTTTGACTTTTTTAGGCTATCCTAGGTTCTCTACACACGTGCTGCTTTGTATAATCTATGTAACTGTATTTGTGTATACCTGAATAAGCTTACATAATCTGATGTTGCTGCTGAAACCAGCGGTGCACCTCTCTAGCCTTTGTATAGTGCAGTTATCCTCCACAAATATTATCCTCTCAGAGAAAGGGAGTGCATATACACGAACAAAGAACTGCATCACTTCCTCCGGGATTTCAATGTACTGATCTGCGAGTCTACCTTCCATCTAGTTACTTTCTTAGTCCCATGAAAAATAAAGATCCTGCCTCAAACGTTTGCTGTTATGTAACAGCATGGTGCCTCTTTAGTCTTTTTTTTTTTTAATATATAATTTTATGGAGAAAATTTCCTTAATTCACAAATTTGGTGGAACTACCAAAAAAAAAAAAAATTGATTTCCTAAGTCGCGTTGCAAGTGTGCGTGTGTGTGTATACGTGTACTCACCTATGTGGTTGCATGGCTCGATTCACAGCTCTTGGTCCCAGCCTTTTCGCTGGTCGCTACTAGGTCCACTTTCTCCCAGCTTCAAGAGACCTATCGTGCCTCTTCTTAAAGCTATGTATGAATCTGCCTCTACCCCTTCACACTCATGACTGTTCCACTTCCTGACAACACTGACAGAAGAAGTACTCCCTAACATCTGTAACTCCTCTGAGTTTAACCTCCAACCGTGGCCCCTTGCTTCTGTTTCCCATCTCTGAAACTTTCTTTGTTCACTCTGTGAACGTCTCTCCTTATTTTGTACGTCGTTATCATATCCATCCTTACTCCTGTCCTCTAGTGTCATCAAGATTAAGGTTTCTTAACCTCTTCTCATGAGACAATATTCCTCACCCCGGAGATTAAGCTTGATGCAAACCTCGGCATTTTCTCCATTTTTTGATGTGCTTGACCAGGTGTGGGTTCCATACTGGTGCTGCGTACTCCAGTGAGCCTGACGTGCAAGGTGTACAGGGTCATAAATGACTCCTTGCTTAGAAATCAAAAAGCTGTTCTTACACTTGCCAAGCTCATGCAAACGTGTGCCTGTGCAGGTGTGCGCGCGCGTTACTAGTTTCTGGCCACGTAAGCATAATCATATTTAATCTGTGGTGATGGTGGGGGGGGGGGGGGAGAATGTATTCGTGTATGTGGTTGCAGAGGTAGTCTCAACTGGTGTGGGTACACGCTCGGGTGCGCGCACCTCGAGATTCACTTCTGGATGTATATGCCTTTGTGGATGATGGTCTTTGCTGGTGTAATAAAAGTACTTTGGTACTATGGACTTTGAAAGTCGTTAAAAAGTTAAAACTTCCCCAGTGGGGAAGGTCTCGTGTCGAATATCGTTTAGTTCATGGGCATATCTTGTGTACTAAAGAATCTTTGAGGAAACAGTGCTGCAGCTGCTGGGCCCCGCTTCTTGCATGACTGGCAGAGGTGGGTGTAGATGTACTTCCCCTTTTAGAATTTTGAGGAACTTTGGTCTCAAGATTTTGGACAATATTTTAACCTACGGTCAGCAGACGTGTGGTGTAATTACTGTTGAGTTCGTTTATTGCTGGTCTTATTTGTTTCCTGAAAATGGAAGATGGCAGTTAAATCTTCAAAGCTTTTATCTGTTCAGTATACACTTACCTTCCTGTAAAATATAGTTCATTCCTATAAAGATTCTCTAAAAATTTGAGAGACCTGCTCAGAGATAGGGTCGTGAGATGACCTCCACCCTTCATATTTTTTTAAATACCCGTGCTCTAGTGTTTAGATGTTGTGTTGGGTATACATCGCCCATCTGTTGACCCCCTCCCTCCCCCATATTTTAATAAAGTATGCTCCTGGCTACTGTAGATTATTTTGTACATTCTTTCGATTTACTCCTCCAGTGACACGAGGTGTAGTTCTCGTAGATGTCATAAATAATGGGGGTGATATGTTAAGGGACGATGCTATGTATGGGAGGGTTAACATTCACTGGATCTCGCCTTTTTTTTTCCCCAAAACCGAATGACTTAGCTGCCGCTGCTTAGGTCATTGGCATTTTATTATGTTTTTAAATCCATTTATAGTTTTATTCCACAGTCTCAAAGATAATCCAGAGAGAGTAAGTAACTTTTTCTGGGCATTATTCCAAACTCCAGGAAAATGCCTTAGATCAGTGCTTATGATTATTTGATCAGGCTCTGATCCACCAGGAGGCCTGGTCACAGACCGGGCCGCGGGGGCGTTGACCCCCGGAACTCTCTCCAGGTAAACTCCAGGTATGAATATTTAATTAATCACAGATTACAGTACGTGCAATTTCTTATGGGAAAAGGAGCTATATGTTTGCAAGTGTTTGTATACATGTGTGTGTTTTGTGTAGATGTGTTCCACCTTTACTTCATCCAGTGTGGCAGAGTGACCTTCCTAATATAGCCATGGACCCTTTCAGGCCCTCCGCCTCTCCGTCCGGCCATGTAGGCGCACACTGGAACAAGGAGCCAAGCTTGTGGGGAAGCTTAAGATGACTCCCACACACAACTGTCCCTCGATTATTCCTGCTGCTGGAATGAAACTCTCAAGACTCTGGCACTTGTAAAGCGGCGGACTAGTTATTCAGTGAATTACATCTCTAGCTCGTAGATGCGACTTATTGTTAAAGGAGACACTTTCACAGCATTTGGGTAACTTTATTCTGGAAAAATTTCATCAGCCAGTCCAGTGCAGAGAAAGATAAGTAGTTTGAGGTACTCGGTCCCTCAGCCTGGAGTCGATGTCTTCAGTCCATCAATCTCATTGAGAGTGCAGCTTATCCGCGGAGATGGGGCTTATACACTGATGACAGATAAATGAGATGAAGCAGTGGTAGGCGGAGTCACCAGTGGACATAACTAGTGAAGTAGGTCTATCTATAAGTTAGACACATTTTGAAGAAATTCCTGCATAAAGATCCCAAGATGTTGCTGCGTATGACAAGATGTGAATAAATGGTTTTGAAATCCGAAAAGTTGATAAATGATACTTGTGCAACATTGTAAAAGTGTCAGATTTTATCAACTTGTCGGTTTTCTATACCATTTATTCGCATGTGACTTAAATGTTAAATGCTCTTCATACATGACTTAAAATATTGTATTTAAATTAGTCTGATATGAGGCAAGCCAATGGACAATAAATGTAGCAAAGTTATATCTTTTCATACAGACATTTTCGCGAGCAATGGAAAACCTTATAACTAGAAAAGGCAAAATATA